TTGAGCGATCCGCATGTTGGCATACGAGAAGCACGTCCTCTTTAGTAGTCGCCTCAACGTCAGGAACGATTCCCTCATTTTGATAAGCCATTTCACCTAAAAAGTAGAGGAAGCAAAAGCAAATTCAACAAAGATCAAATCCACCCTTCCATCACAAATCAAGTGAAAGGGTGAGGATTAAGTGCGAGGATGTCTCCTCAACTCAAGCCCTTATCAAAGGCAATGGGTCTCGATGAAAACTCTCCCTGAAAATAGAGACAAGTCCCCGTGACTTGTAAAGACCCTAAAGGGGATAAGCCTCGCGACTACTATGACGTATCAGACACCTAAGAATGAAACCCTCAGCGTCGAGGATACCTTCTGGCCGACTATAACCATGAAACATTTCACACAACAACCAAGGAAGATCTACAGACATACAACATCCTAGATTCATATTCTTCAAGGAATTCATGAATTTCCCAGGAAATTCATGTATTCATTTAGAAACGCATGAACTTTAACCGAAAAATTCATGCATCGCCGGTAAACTCAAGCTAAAATTCTAGAAATTCATACATTCTAACAGCAAAGATAAAAAACTTACTTGGATAAGAAGGATGAAGATGAAGATCTTGGAAAAAGAAAGAATAACTGACGGCGGCGAAGAATGCTCTGGCAACAGACGTTTGTTGTATAGCAAAAAGTAAAGAGGAGAGAAATTTTCGTGAAGTGAAAATAAATCCTCTTTTCCCCTTATATATGCTCTTTTGCTCGCATGGGGAAGCGCAAAGGGAAAAAATCCATTATTGCCTAGCCTCCTAGATCTCTTAGGCCTTAACAAAATTAATTGCGCCTTCACACATGCCAAAAGAGGAAGCTGTCAGTTGGCACTTTCAAAACTAACCCTTCACGTGCTTCTGAAAGAACAAGTCCCTCCGGCTCCCCGCGGGCACATTCTCCTTGACAATGTCACCAAATAGCATTCGAGCAGGAGGCTCGTCGACATTTTCTGCATCTTAAGGACAAGTCTGGTCGATGTAGATTGCACCTTTCATATCCGACCACGTCCTTGCACCTCCAAGGAGGCCACACGCAATCAACATTTGACCATACTAGTCATATGCCACGGACATGCGCATCCCCGAAGTTTTTTGTTCAAGTAATGACGACCTCAAAGATCTCTCCGCATTATGGTTCTTGCCCCTTGGTCCAACTATGCTAACTTAAGTCATTACTCCTCACCTTGAAGCAACGACTTAGGGGGATCTTGTTCTGGACTAAACTGGCACATGCCCCACAGTTGGGCAAGGCCCAATCCAGTTTAGCGTAAAGCCAGGCCCAATAAGGAGATTAGAACAATCTAACCGTTGGGCACAATATAGCCGTTGGGCACAATATAGCCGTTGGGCACAATATAATCGTTGAGCACAATATAGTCGTTGGGCAAAATATAGTTGTTGGAGCATATAGCCATTGGGGACATCCCCCTCACGCGCTTGACAGTTCACGCGACCAACCGCCCCTCTGAAAGTCACGAGGATAGTTGGACCAGGTCAAAGATCACGCGCTAGATCTTCCACCTAGCAGTCCCCCATTGGCCGACCAGATATTTCAGTCACATGGGAGACCTTGGCCCCGTGTTGGGGGGAATCTCATAAATGCTCTCTCTCTCTTTAGAGGGTCAAGTATACGTGCTTTCTCTCTAGCCCAAAAACTTACTTTAGCATTGGAGTACCTTGTAGGTACACCCACTTCTCTCCTACAACCATTGTTTCTGCCCTACATTGAAGGCCAAGACGATCCATTTTGATCACTCCAGATCAATTGTTAAGGGCCAAATTATGCATACTTTTGATGATATTTTGTGGCCCTTTCAAATTGTTTCCTTGGTATATTAGTAGTAAATTCATACGTTTTAGTGTGAATATGCAAGTTTCTGATTATGATTGTAAATATTGTGAATTATGATCATTTTGCTGTTTTCTGACAGGTCTTGCTGATATATAGTTCTTGGAACCTCTGGTGAAGGGAAGAAGGCCTAGAAGATCATTTTTGCAACTTTTTGTCGGTAAATCACGCTTAGTGCACTTTTCAGTGCAGGTTCAACGCGGTTTTATTGTTGAGGCAGTAGCTAAGGGCCTTTGGCCACGCTTAGTACGCTCTAACCACGCTTAGCGCGGTGCCACTTATAGAAACTTTTTGTACTTTCTATAAGTAGTCAATTGAGAAGATAATTTTGGATCACTTTATTTTTCAGCAACTTTTAGATTGTAAGGGTATTTTTAGGGCAAAAAGCTTAGAAATCTCAAGAGAAGTGAGAATAAAAAATTTGGAGCATCAATCCTCGATTCTTCAACTTTGATGCTATCAAAGTTTTCCTTTTTACTTGTTGATCAAGCTACCATGGTGATGGCTAGCTAAACACTTTTGGGTCAAGATTAGAGGTAGTTAACCTTACTAATATGTACTTCTTTTGATCTTTTGTATGTGAACAAGGTTGATGGTCAATATATGATGAAGATCTTTTCTTTTAATGTGTATGTATGATTTGAACCACTCTAGCCATAAATTTTCCAAGTCTTGATCTGATTTCTTCATCTATTAACAAACAAACTATAGACATAAATTTGAAAGTTAATATTTTCTTTGTATTCATCTTTATGTTTGTTGTTTCGACTGTTATTTCGAGAAATCATCTAGCGATTAAAACAATAATACCCACGCAGCTGCTTTAGAAATAAACAGATACACGATTGTATTGATCGAAACTAAGTTCACATGCTTGATTAATTAGATATGTATGAAAGAGGTTAATGAAATCTAATCTTGACATGTTTTTCTTAAAACAAAACATCTTTCTCTAGTTTATTCTTTGCTACAAAAACATATGTTACAAAACAAGAACTTTTTGAAAACTCTTTTCTTAGAACTTTAAACTGTTGAACGACAAGCATCTAGATATCAGAACAATCCCTGCGGATACGATAAAACAACCCACCAAAAATACTTATCAACACGCACATTCACTGATTTGCTTAAACATACATGCTAATAAGAGAAGTTCGAATATCAGAAATCCAAGAAACCTAATATCGAGAAACCCTAATAAAGAAAACAGAAGTAAAAAGAAAGGAAAATATGGATCTTACCTTAAAGAAATAGAATTGATCGTCTATGTGTCACATGTATCGTCAAACAAAGTGTTGTGTATAAAACTAACTAGACAATCAATGCAAAAAAAGCTTGAAAGAAAATGGGAAGTTAATGATACACAAAAAGGAAGAGCTTTTACAGTTCGTAAATGACAAAAAAGGGAAAAATAATACTTCAGGAACTATTTATATGTGCCCCAACCAAATAGGACCATACTATGTACTATATTGTGAAGCTCAAATCACACCAATAACAATAAAAATCTCCTTACGAATTGCTCGAGATACCTGAGTATCCTAAGATAGAAAAGGCATCATTATTAAATAGTGTAGGGGTACATGTCAAAAACTCCCTGCAAAAAATGCTACCCATGACAGGAAAGATATTTAATGCACATGTTCCCAATGAAAGTGACGTCTCATCAAGACTCTTCACTTGATCCTACCAGCAGTCGACTTAGGGGCGTACGTGGAAAACTCTTATCCTACAAAGTAGATACAAGGGTTTTTGGGGAAACTTTCATGGGTCATTTGCAAGGCCTATAGTGAAAGACCCAAGAGCGTCATAAAGTAAAGAAACGCATAAAGTAATTTAGATCTAATAGCCACCTGCCCAACATGCCTCCTCTCACGCGAGTGGTTTTAACCACTCTCACTATATAACGAGAAAAATGTGTCATTTTAAGTATTCAATTTCATTCTCACTTTTACATTACTCTTTATTCTCTCATTGACTTGGGTGTCGGAGTACTAAGCTTGCAGGGTAGCCCCTCTTTGCCGCACCAAAAGTACAAATTCACCGCATCAAGAAATTGCCTCATTATTTCATTAATCATTTCTAATTTTGACTCGAACACTCACTGATGAGTTCACTACAAATATGAAAATTATCATTCATATATTAATATTTAATCATATAAAAATCTATAAAAAATAAAAAATAGAAAATGAAAGTTAATGAATTCAAAAACTAACATATTATGAAAAAATTTGAGGCTAATTTTATAAAACTAAGGTAATTACATTAATTGACTTTTCTCTGAATCTTTAGAAAAAAATTAAAAAAAAGAGTTGTGACTTATAAGTAAAAACAAGTATACTTTTTTAAACTTTATTTTAATTCAACCACTCAATATACCTCATTCCATTATAATCTTGTTTACTTAGCCAAAAGGGGGTTGATAATCTAAACCCATCTCACATAAAAACGGGTTAAACAAGATTTTTTTTTAGATAATACAAGTTATACACATAGTGAATTATAATTTTTTAATTAAAAATAAAAATAAAATTTTGTCTCTTCTTCATATCACAACCATCTTGATGATTTTAATTCAAAAAACAATTAAATTTTAAACAAATTTAAAACTTTCTATCTCTTATTAAATATTTTTAAGAATATAATCCAAGTGCATAGCGAACAAGAGTAACCGCAATAAACAAACCTATGCATGTCTCTGATTGTGTTGTGGGACCCACCGCCTGAAAATGTTTCACTTGGATCTTGATTTCTAATTTTGTAAGTGTGTTTTTTTAATTCTGTTTTTGTCGATTAGCGTTGGAATTTCATTAAGTTACGAATTCAAATCCGCGCTGTTGTATCTCAATATTTTATTATGCATTATTTTGTTGCTTTCATAAATATTAAAAAAATTATAAATCATTGTATGATATTATTAAATAAATAACTTTATTATTAATAAATTAGAAAGAAAATTAAATTTTGTAAAAAATATGTTTTATCTCAATATTTAATTTTTTCAATTTATACTACCTATTAAGTGTGAGACTTAGGCTTCTCCCTTCACTGAATCAAAGAGATTCAAAGTTCCACACACTTCCTCCAATTTCCAAAAATATTCCACCATGCAACACCAACAACTTCATCATCATCTCCCCAAAATTCTTTCATATCCAAAACCATATATCACACTCCATACAAATATCCATATCCAACCCAAAAATTTTCTCACTATATCTCCATCTCCATCATTCCTAAAAAAATCCTCAAATTTAAATTTCCTTCATGCAACAAAAATCACTCCTTGTAATGCATTAACATCATTCCCTTCACCATCTTCAGCGGAAGAAGATAACACAGACACAGACACAGATACCAACTCGAACACAGACACAGACACAGACGAGAACACTGACATTAATGTTAATGTTGTTGAGAATAAGATTCAATGTCTTCCTGAGAAAAAGAGTTTCTGGGGAGCAGTGAGTTTGATAATTGGTACATCAGTTGGGCCTGGAATGTTGGGCTTACCATCTCTAACAATAAAATCGGGCCCAATACCATCCACAATCATAATCTTCATTTCATGGATTTATGTAATCTCATCAATAATTCTTGTTGCTGAGCTTTGTTTTGATGCAATGGAAAAGGATGATCTTGAAGAGGTTAGTTTCACAAACCTAGCAACAAGAACATTAGGTCAAAAATTTGGTTCATTTGTTGCATTGGTTTATACAAGTCTATGTTTTTCAATGCTTGTTGCATGTGTTGCTGGAATTGGATCAATTATTTCACCAATTTTCACTAATTTCAATAATTTGGTGGTTCATTCATTGTTTCCCCTTTTTGTTGGAATCTTGATTGTGTTTTTCCCTTTCAATACTATAGATTTTGCAAATAGGGTTTTGTGTTTTCTAATGCTTGTTTCAATAACTGGATTGGTTGGGATTGGAGTTGTTGTGGCTAGAGCTAATATAATAAGCTCTTTTGGTTCAATTTCGTGGAAATTATCGTCGATTTTGCCAATTATACCGGTTGCTGTGTTGACGGTAGGGTTTCATGTGATTACGCCTTTTATATGCAAAATTGCTGGTGATAGTATTGATGATGCAAGAAAAGCGATACTGATTGGTGGAACTGTTCCGTTGGTGATGGTTTTGTCATGGAATTTGATTGTGTTGGGACTTGTTGGAGCTAAGAAAGGTGCAGATTTTGTTGGTGATCCTATTTCGCTTTTGCTTTCGGTGAATCCTTCTGCTTTATCTGCTGTTCAAGGTTTTGCATTTTCTGCTATGGCGACTAGTTTGATTGGTTATGTTGTGAGTCTGCCAAAGCAGATTCTCGACACTTTTGAATTGGTGTTTGGAAAAGGTGAAAATGGAAGAGTTGGATTGGTTTCTTATTCAGGTGATGGTGGCGGCGGTGACGGTGTTGGTTATTCAGGGAATGTTGGATTTGAAAGTTCAAAAGATTTGAGTGAAATGAGATTGAATGAGAAAAGATTTGAGGGATTTAAGGTGTTTGTAACGATATTGGTTCTTTGTTTTTCGGTGTTCATAGCTTCGTATTTTAGGTCTACTTTTTCGAGAGCTCTTGATTTTGCTGGTGTTTATGCAAATTGCTTTCTTTTTGGGATAATTCCTCCTGTCATGAGTTATATTCATCAACAAACCAACAAGGAAAAAATCAGGTATGGTTAAGTTTTTCAAATCAAGCTAATGAGTGAGTTCCATTTGATTATGAAGCAGTGACGCTCACAAAAACACCAGACACTACACTGATACACTAGTACTAGTAATAAATTAAGAAAATGATTGAAGGTAACCACATGTGTCGTGTCATGTTAGTGTTGGACACCAACACGTGTTTGATAGTGGAAGCGCCTTCAATCAGAAGTGTCAGTGTTACTTTTTCATGCTTTCACATAACAACATTAAACATTCAAAAGAGAAAGGTACAATGCACTGTCACTTGACATCGAAGATGTGTTCCACTGACACCTGTTTACCTTCAATTATTTCATTTTTTCAAATAATCAGCATTCTCGGCGTGTTAGTATCATTGTCATATTCGATGTTGTGTCGGTCTGATTGCTGATATCTATGTATCTATTTGTAATAAATGATTTTGCAGGTCATCCTTCATTCCAGGAGGAAATGTGACACTTCTGCTGCTTTTCATTATCTCAGTCATGTTAGCAATTTGGCATTAGATGTTCTTCAAAATCTAAGCTAAGAAGAATTTTCTAGATTACAATTTCAGATCAATATCGGACGGTCTATATCTCAATTTCATATTTAAAAAAAGAATTGATGAAGTTAGAATATCAGTTGTCAGATCTTAATCTAACAGTAGTGAGGTTGATAAAGATGGAATATAAGTCGTCAGATCAAAATCTAACGGTGGAGACTATTTTGACCGAAGACGATTTGGATCCGACTTAGAAATATGCCAAGCTCTGTATGGATGTGGGTACTAATAATGGAGTTATGAAATGAAGTTTATCATTTTTATGCTTTCTGTCAAATCTATTCCAACCTTTCTGTTAATCTAACAGATAATAATTGGTAAAGGTTGATTGTGATATTCACTTAAAATTCTATTTTTTTTTTGTCACAGTACAAAATTGAAAATTTGAACTGATATTAGAATAACATGATTCGGTAAAGGAACCATAGAAATATATATATGATTGTGAGATAATGGAATACAAGTCACCAGCACAAATTTGACTTCAGGGAGAATATAATCACATTATAACTAAGCACACTTCTTAATTTCTTTTTCCATCACTCTTTATATTAGTGGCAGAAAAGTTGTACAAGGTGATGGGTTTCTAAGAAGAACGAATTCACTGTATAATGTTTGTTTTATGATGAGCCATTTAGGATAAATTGTACCTATAGATTCCTCATTAAAAATCTTTTAAATATATGATTGGTGGTAATTATTGCAAAGAAAATATTTTCTCTCTCCGTTTCAAAACAAGTGTGAACAAGATGACAATAAGATGATAATAACAAAGTCATGTTAAGTCACTTTAGTTGGTAATTGTGTAGGAATATAAAATGTATGGGTGCGAGTTCGAACCCGGAACATTCTATATATTGTGAAGATGTTCATCATCTATCTTAGTTTAATTTTAATAAAAACAAAAGACATATCAAATAAAAAAAAGTTTGGAGTCAAGTATTAAGATTGCATAAGCTATTGGATGTTTTGGGCTTAAGAAAATTGATTTTGATTTTAAGGTACTCAATTGAAATTCATTATATTTAAACTTTAAATGCTAAAAAAAACTCTAATACATTCATCTCTAAATTTTTTAAAAGTTTCATGCATCAAGACATTTCATGCCAAATCTTTTAAAAGATAAAAGAAAAAATTAATTTCTATAATAATGTAATCGGTTACACTATATATGTAATCGGTTACACCAACATTCTGCCAAATTTTTTGACTGATATCAAGGGTGATAACGGATTACACCAAATGTGTAATCAATTACAATCTGCGATTAAACCAGTTTCATTCCAAAGTAATGCAATTCTTCAAGGAAGTTCTTCAAACTTAGGCATCTTTCTAAGGGGTATCTTAAGGTATATTTAAGGGGGGAAATACACCAGTTTTACAAACTACCTCTTTCACTCAAATTTACATGCAATTCAAATATGTTTTATGCGATTCATTTATCAAAAACCTTAAAACTTTTTCTGCATAAATTGTCAAATTTTTGCAAAATGTTTTTGAGCAATTAAGGTTATGATATTTAAATTGTACATTGAAAGAGGAGATCAATTTTATGCAGGAGAATTGATTCAAGAGCATTATGTATATTTTGTACTAGTAAAAAAAGTATAGGTGTGTGTGTGTGTGTGTGTGTGTTCGTCCTACAAGGGCAAGGGGACTCATAGGCCTTAGTAGGTTTATAACATTGTATGGTGGTTAGGGCTTGCTCACGGCAGCGAGAAGCTTTGCATGATGGTGTTTTACGGTAGTTTAGAGGTCTTTATCACGCGAGGTAAGAGGCTATGTGGATGGACGATATGCTTAGGTATAAGCTATTGTGGGATGAATTATGATCTGGGTAAGCGTTATGCTTTATGATGTAATGATTTATCCCTTCCTCTTATGAGAGAGGTGTATCTGTAGAGGACTTTAGGGCTTAGATTTCTCTTTAAAATCGTCATTATCCACTTATTTAATGGAGGACCGTTGAATACCTATTTTTAATGGAGGACCGTTGAATACCTATTTTTAAGGAGGTCGCGGGTCAGTTAATGACCCTGACTTCTCTATGCTCTAGGAACGTCTCTTCCCACATTTCTCATACTTGGATGATACGAATATTTTTGGGGCGCAGAGTCATACCTCCCATTTGGACAACATGTTATCGTCGCATCTCCTTGGTGGTCTATAACCATCGCACTAACATAGAACTTTAACAAATATAACACTACTTAGTCCTTTAAGCACGAGGAATTTTGATAGAGGAAAAGTGTTTTCTAGATCGCGACTCAAGAGAGTATCCTAAGTGCCTGGGCTTCCCGAGGACATATTTTCTTAGGTGAAGTTTCTTTAAGTTTGAGACTATAAGTCCTTCGGGTAAAATCACATGTAGCCTCCCTGATGAAACTATAATTTGTTAGAACAAGATTTTTTCATGACAAATATCCTTTAGGTTTTGATGATAACAAAGTATTGAAAGAACAATGGTGTTATCTAATGTGTGTTCTAAGTATGCAGGTTCCAAAGTTTAAAGAGAATCTATTCAGAATCTGTTAAGAGAACGCATTTAAGAGAATGTGAGTTCTTGACTTCTGATGGTTCAGAACTGAAGGGCGTTCTTAAGTGAAGTCTGATGATATATAATTGCGTAGACTCTGAAGCTGAATTTATCAGCATTAGAAGAGTAATATGTTATCTCTACACTCATTGAATTTATCAGCTTCTGATGATCATTCAGAATCATAGGCAAAGCTAAGTGATCCGTACTGTATAAAGCAAGTTACATTGTCAAATCAGTTTCTCAACTAGTATGTGTTCACATGGCTCAAGGAGAGTTGACATACTTTAAGGATATCCACTCTAAACGGATCTATAGTATAACTCACAATAAAGACGCTACAATTAAACGTGTTACACAATGGATAAAGGTCTTTTGTGTATCTATCTTCAACGTCTCTTAGTACTATGGATTGAAAAATACACTTGTGCAAGTTATCTCTTTCAACGGCTACTTTTTTGTATCTTCTATTTAAGTAGCTGAAAATTCAAACTGGAGAATCAACAAGGAATAAAGAAAAAGGGGCCAAGCAGAAAAAGAAGCGTTTTCACGCTTACATCAATATGGAAGAATAACATGATCAACAATAACAATATCATCGAGTATGCGGAGTTGTTTTCATCTATTGTAAATTTCACAAAGCCTTAAGATTTCTTAAACAATGTATATCTTAAAAAGCTTAAGTGTTATGATCTTTGTTAAAGATATTTATTGTACTTCTGATTGTATATCAGGTATTTCTTGTTATCTATTCTTATAAATAGGTTGTTTAGTAGTTTAGAAAGAAAGTCTCTTGTTGTGTGCTTGAGCCAAGAAAGTTTCTTGCTATGTGCTTGAGCATTAATGCCTAGGTCAAATTGTTGATTAAGTAGGAAAGTCTTAAATTGTTGAGTTTAAGCATCAAATCTTTGATCTGAGGCATCTTAGCGAGAAGTCTTGAATCCGAGGGATTTAAGCAAGGAAGTCTTGGAATGTGAGTCTAAGCAAGAAGTCTTGTACTTTAAGGTATAAGCATGAAGTCTTAAATCCGAGAGATTTAAGCAAGGAAGTCTTGTATTTGGACTGTGAGTCTAAGCAGGAAGTATTATACTTGAGGGTATAAGCAGAAAGTCTCGAACCCAAGGGATTTAAGCAAGGAAGTCTTGTACTTGAGGGTATAAGCAGGAAGTCTTGAATTTGTGGGATTTAAGCAGGGGAGTCTTAGGATCTGAGGATCTAAGTAGGAAGTCTCGATCAGGTGTTGATTGAGTAAGCAAGTCTTGGACTGTAGGTCTAAGAAATGAAGTCTTGAATATGAGGGGATTAAGCAAGGAAGTCTTGGATTCGTGGAATCTAACCAAGCAAGTCTTGGGTTGTAGGTATGAGTAAAGGAAAGTCTTATGCTCGAGGGAATGAGCAATTGTAATCAGTTTTGATTATAGTGGAAAATATCTTGTGTTGCAAGGGGACTGGACTACTCTCGGTTTAAGGTGAACCAGGATAAATTTTGTGTGTTCATTTGTCATTTACTTGCTTCTGTTTATTGTTCCGCTGCACCCATATCATCAGAATCTGAACTAATGTTTATAATCTAAACTCTATTTAGAAGCAACGCAAATTGGAGAACACAATTCAACCCCCCTTCTTGTGTATTTTTCTCACCTTCAGTTGGCATCAATGTAAGGTTTGTATGGAACACTTTACAATGGTACAAAAAGATCCAAAGAGAAAATTATGTTTTCATCTCCATATGAAAGGAAATCTGTCAAATATGAGGAAATCTATTGAAAATAACTAGTCTCTCTATCAATGGTGTTATTCTCTTGAGAAGATAGTTCAAGATTTTGGCTTTAGAGCAAGTCAGAAAGGCTTCATCAAAACAAGCTGGAAATTCAGACTCATAAAATCTATCTAGGTATGTTCAGTTAATTATTCATTATTTCAAATATGATATTTTGTACAAAGTTTATTGGTGTGTATAGTTTCTACACTCAGTTACTTTGAAAAATATTAGCTAGAGAACTTTCAGACTTCTGAAATCGGTATTCTCACCATTTGTGATAATATCAGTAATGTGTTGCATCAAAGAAATCTCTTTAAACATTCTTGAATCAAACTCTATTAATACTTTTCAAAAAAGAATTAGTATATGTTATGTTCCTTAGTGAACTAACGCTTGAGCTACGACTCGTGATTTTGTTAGAGTTAAAAGGCTGATAAAAGATTCTGAACATAGTAATTTATGCTTAATTCTTAATGAAGTAATAAATCAGATATTAGTAAGATGATGTCTCAGTCAAAAGCTTGGGTAACAAACCTTTTGATAAAAGATAACCTCTGAAAAATCTCTGTTTCTGAAACTTGTATAGAGAAATATTTGCTTCTTACATGCACTGAAGTGGAAAACTTTTTTTGACACCTGTCCCACTTTTTATACTTTTCCTAAA